AAATAAATAGAAGCATTTTCTCTAGTGTTGCTAGACTTTAGGATCCCATTCTAAAATATAGGGAGAAAAGAATAAATCATTCCATCTGTTCGAATTCTAATCTATTCTAATCGTTCTACATATGAAGTCTTTAAATGTTGACTGGGACAATTGGTAATTATACAGTTTAGTGTCAATATAAATGTAACTATTTATTTATCTATCTATCATATTGCTGTTGCTATAGTTTTATAAAAGACACTTTAGCATTCATAAAATCTAACCTCCTAAGAACAAAAACAAATTTGAGAAATGTTATCAGCAAGTCAAACTCCAGACTGACAGATCTAGCCTTCAGCAATTTTAAAGAAGAGATCTTGACAAATAGTTATTTCCTCTGTCATCACTGTCCCTATCAAAAAGCATCAACTGATAAAAATGATGGCAAATAAAATTGTCTCAAGATGGGACATTATTTAAACATAATGCAATTCCAAAGAATATAAACACATACCTCCTGATGCCCGTAGCCTCTCCTGTGAGGAGATAACAGTATGGAAATAAAGTCAGTAAGGTTATCATGATAAAACCTTGATATCTAGAAAAAGTTTTAATTCTTTTTTTCTCAAACTGGATGGTCAGATCACAAAGTCTTTAAATGTTTAGCATATTGAAAAACATGAGATTGAGACAGCGTGTCCTTGAAATAATGTATAACTGTGAAGAACTGAGCATATGTGTGCGGATTAATATGCAGAAATGCAGTAGATATGAGGGAAACACTAATGGTTGTCTTCAGCACAATTTTCCATGATGATTTTAATATTTTATTTCGATAGTCCACTTCGACTAAGCAACTTCCCAACAACATGTCAACTACCGGTCATTAGAGTATTAGTAGACTCTCTGCTTCATATCTGCTAACACTCTATTTAGATGGTCCGCCAACATACATTCTACTGACTAAAAGGAACTTTCCAAGTCAACTTATTCCACTAACCCAACAGTCTACTAATGATCTATTGAGAGTTATTTGACATGTAGTTGAAAAGGTACTTACAGTTAGTAGAATGTCTAAAGGGGACTATAAAAAATTAAGCGTAACCTACTAATATATCCATTTATTTTTTTAGCTACTGAAATTTCTTTATGGACTGTGCTATTAATTGAGATTTTAGTTTTGGAAACATTAGTTAAGGGGTCAATGAGTGTTGTTGAGCACTAAATGACAATGAAGCTCACAGGCCTCATCGAATAATGAATCAGTGTTAACAGCACTAATTCAAAGTAGACAATACGAGAATGACATGCCTTTAGAGGAGAAAAGCTAGACACTGTTTAGCTGCAAGGACACATGGCACACTGTTTGTTTATCAGTCAGATGAATGTTAACACCCTCAAGCCTTTAATGACATTAGACAATATCATCTGTGACAATGCTTGGCACGCAAAGACAGCCTAAAAAATATTTGATAACAGTTTATCAGGTGTGTTAAAGGTTCACAGAGTGCACATGGAGACGGGCCAGCGTTTCCTAAGTGGTAGGGCCATTTCACTGAAAGCGTAGCAAATTAAAATTCTCTCCAGGCAGCAGATCAGCGAGAGCAAATTACAGCAATTCTTCCCTGATGTTGGCATAACGAGGGGTTCAAATGAAGATTTATCTCTTAACGATAATATGCGACTTTCAAGGGACTTTTGTTTTGTTGACTTTTCTCTCTCTATGCCAGCGTGTTTGCAGGTGCAGTAATGTGGCAGGCCATGAATTAAACATGATGTATTACACGATATGTAATTATAATTAAAGTATATAATTATACACTATGATTAAATACTAATTATGTTATATAGTCTTAACTGGGTCACGGTAGGATTGCAGTGGCATTTCCATCTCTTTTTTTTCTTTCAAAAATGAAACTTAAATTAAACCTACTGGTCTATATTAATTATCTTCTTTCTTGTTTCTTTTAAGGTCACACTAAATAATTATTGATTTCAAATTTTTTTTTTCTTTTTTTTTTACCATTTACTGGCATGCTCTTTGTAGGTGGAGTTAATGTTAATTAAAATAATGGTAACCACTGAAAGCACATAGAAGAAGGTATTTTAAATACAAAAAGGCTACCATATATATATCAACATAATATATATTACATGATGTGAGATCTATATGGTAGCCTTTTTGTATTTAAAATACCTTCTATGTGCTTTCAGTGGTATATATATATATATATATATATATATATGATATATAATTGCATGATGTTGAGATCTATGGATCTATATACATTGTGTGTGTGTATATATGTATATATATATATATATATACATATATATTATTTTTTGATTAATTACTAATCATAAATTATACTAAATTATATTAATGATAACAGGACAAACACCACTGATATGTCAAACGCATATTTTTTTAATGGATTTTGACCAAAAATGTATTTTTAGATTTAGATTTGTGTGATAAATACAAACATAAAAAAGCAATTCATTACTATTATAAATAATATAAATAGTTACCATAGTATGAATAGGTTAGATAGGGTCACTAACAAAAATGACCACACTTACGATATGCATATTAATTAAATGAATGATGTGTAATCACATCAATGTATGTGTTAGCACATCATTCTTTTTATAATCAAAAACACTGAATTAATGTGTTGGCAGCACTAGTTTTAAACATATGCTTTTCTGCAGTTTGTATGTTTCCATCTGCTTTGAAATGTTGACTAAACAGACAATAGTGGAGACAGATAAATCTTGTTTGATCTTGCTAAATTTTACAGAGCTTTCCCTCCTCCCTCTGATTGCCATAAAGATGTTTGCTTGTTTGTTCTCTAACACTGTTAATATGCCATGATGGCAACTGCTAGTCTTAATGGAACATGGCGCTACAGATTAGATAAACAAATCAAGATATGAGATGGGAAAGTGTGGCATGCCTGGGTTATCTGCAAAGAAATTTTGAAGGAATAGTCATTTATGTTAAGTTTGAGGTATTTCCAGGTTTTAAGCTTTTCTTTGCCAAGGAAGTGACACATGAGTATTAACAGTAACACAACTCATCTTTGCTCTGTAAAATAACTTTAAATGGTTGCATAAGAAAGCATTCATCAGGAGATTTTCTGACTTAGCTCTTAAATTTCTTTAGTTTAACAACACTGAATAAAGCCAAAAAATATATAGCACACGAACAATGAGGTGACCTACCAAACAAATTTTGAATGGAGTCTGTATTAAGGGGCTGAATTTATTGCAGAACTTTAATGGGGGAAGAGGTTTAAAACAAAGCCTAACCAGAATATCCGAGTCACATCAATACAGTGCTGCTCATTGTAAACAGAAGGTGCAATCATTACAGAAACAGAACATGATCAATTTTCATAAGGTCATGGAGACACTTCTGAATGTGCTACAGCACAAGAACAAAAACAATATGGTATAGTTGTGTACTGCTGCGAGTCGACAATAATCGGATGTAATGGTGCAGTATCCATCCATTAGTATCACAACAATTAAAGCTGGGCTTAGGAGGACGTTTGCTGAATTGAATGCAGCGTGTTTCCGTCTCAAAGAGTAAATGGAGGACATATCGCCAATCACACACACACACACAACATTGATTTAGCCTGTAATTACAACCAACTTGACGACTCAGTTGCCTCTCAAACCTCCTAATGTGTGCACAGTCACGTAACATAAAGCCATTTAACATTAAAACAAACTTGTTTATCTTCTGTGCCTTTCTATTCCTTCTACCAGAGAAGGATAACATTTTGGACCAAAAGCTTGCACTGAGAGAGACACAATTTCCCATAACAGCTGTTTCTGATAAATAAATTGATCAGTTTACGTAAATATCCTGTGCCAGATATTGGTGAAAACTGGTAGAGAGTGCAAATGTGGCCACAGAGGCTAAGCTATAACAATTATCAAAAGAGGGAGAAACATAAAAGAAAGAACAAATGCGAGGAGAGAGCATGCAGTGTACCCCAGAGAAAAAGCTTTATAGAGGACATTAATCCCATCCAGTGATAGTAACTTATAGCCCAACATTAGAGCATATGAATAAGATAATTTATGTGAGTTAGTGATAGTTTTGTGTACTAAAACAGTTTGAAGGGATAAAATAAAACGCCTGTATGAATGGTTTAAACTCAACTAAATAACAAAACACTCTTGCAAAACTGTTTAAAAATATTTTACAAAAACTGTAAAGCACAAACACTTGATTTTGTGTTATAGTTAGATGAAACACAATGGTAAGACAAAAAGTAAAGATGACAAAAATGTAGTGATAGTCTAATAGGCCATTCACACAGGACACATTTTCTTGCTCCATCGTAATTTTTTAATTATTAAATTAGTATTTTTGGACTATGTACATGTGCGCTAGATGAACCTCTTTTCGGTGTCTTGAGTGCCACATTTTAAATACAGTGTAGTGGATCAAACTCAGGTTACAAAACATCACATGTTTCTGGGCGTTTGATAAACATTTACATTTATGCTTTAATCCGAAGTGACTTACTTTGAGTTGAAAGTATACCTTTTATCAAATTTTGCACTCCCTGTTCATCATGGAATTGCTAGCATCATGCTTTACTGTTTGTACTACAGGAACGCCCTGTCCACAATATTTACATATGAACGTGACTTCTTTTCAGTTCCGCTATACTAAAATGTTTGCTAGAATGCATCCTGTGTGAACTGCCTCTAAAAGAGTAATAGCAACATGGACAAATAGAGTGTCACATGATAGTGGACTGAGATGGAAAGCGTTTCTCCAGCTCCTCCACTAGTGAGTTCATGTTTGGATTGGGCTCTGGTGGTGGTGCTTCTTGTACAGGCTCCGCATCTGACATGCCAGCCTCTGGTTCGACAGACACTTGTGGTTTGGGGACAATCTTTGGCGGGCACTGCTTTTTATCTATTTGTCTGTACATGTTGGCAACGGATTTCTCTAAGTCAGCTATGTTCTGGATGTTCTTCAGGATCCCCTTGAGTTCCCTCTTGGGAGGCTCCGGCTCGGGCGGCGGTGGGGGTGCTGCCGGGCGTAAGGACACCGGTCGGAGGGATGTGATGGAGGTAAGAGGAGGAAGGACGAATGGAGAAGGAGGCATGGGACGGGACAAGACTGGTGATAAGGCAGGTGGGAGAGGAGGAGGAGGCGGAGGGACTGGATGTGGAGGAACAGGTGAGGATGGAGGGATAGGAATAGATTGGGGTGGCGGATTGGAGGGAGGTGGAGGTGGTGGAGGGCTGGAGGGAGGTGGAGGAGGTGGTGGGGCAGGTATATCTGGAGGGTCGGGGATGATCTCCACATTGACCTCGTAAGACTCCACATCAGGATAAGAACTTATTCTGCTGTACTTCCGCAGAACTGGTGGAGTGGGCTTGTGACTGGGCGGAGGTGTTCCGTCACTCTGGGTAATGATTATGGACGGGGGCCTGTTGTTATGTCCCATGAGTGAAGATTGTGGGGTCTCAAAAACAGAGAGAAAAATATCAGAAGAGAGTGACCCACGAGAGTCCTGGCCTTGCCTTTGCCTCATGTCCTGCATGGCCTGCTGCTCAAACTGTCGTGCCTGCTCTTTTACTGTCAATTTGGGCTCTGTGTCTTCGTCCTCAAGCCCATCAAATTCATCAAGCATTTCTTTACTGTCCTTAAGGCCAGACTTCAGAAGTTGCAGCTCCCACTGAACTGGGTCCATTACCACCCTTCTACACCGTAGGGCTTCATTGGTCTCACATTTGTGCAATCTAGAGGGTAAAGTCCAGGAGTGTCCTGAGCCTGCGGATGGGAAGCGCAGGATGGACTTTCCCAGACCGCTCATGCTGGGTGAATACATGCCCAGGAGGTACCTCAGATTTTGGTGCTCAGGGCTGCTGAGGGTGCCGTCATCATGGTACAGGGGGTTGGTTGTAGTAAGCGGGTTCTCATCTGAAAGGAAGGTAATGTTGCTTTCCGACTTGGGCAAGTTGTTCAGTAGGATTCCATTAGCAGTGGACAGCTTGTGGGCAGCGATGGCACGGGTGGCAAATGAACTAATGAGACGCTGCCGATCGCCATCCTTCAGAACACACCTCTTAGTCCTGCTTTCAGCATAACCGCAAAAAGAGACAAAGAACGACTTAACAAAGGACGTGAACAACAAGGTAGACAGGGAAGTAGGATGGAAGCCAGCTACAAAAAGCACCTGCCTGGATTGACTTCAGTAAAAAGAACAAAAAGTGCTAATTAAATCCTAGGCAAAAACCTACAACAAGTTTCAGTGAAGGGCACTAACACAGTTCGTAGCTAATATCACTAATTAGTAGGAGCAAGGAAACTGATCACAATGCTAGGCAACTAATTTGAAGGCAAGAATGTTCAACAGCTTTCTGGGAAACAATCACAAATACATCTCTACCTTAAATAAATTGTCTACAACATTTTGAAACAGATGACTGCCTACTTACTTAGGTCTGATATCCAAGAAATGAGAATGAGAGATGAGGAAAAGAAAAAAATATATATAGTGAAATAGCAAGATGTTAAAAAAAAGTTTAGTAAAGTTTGTGTGTAAGTGCTAGTCTTTTAAGGGGGCTAGTCAGCCTAATACCAGACACAGCCATTCCAGATAAATCAGTTTAGGGGTGCAATAACATTAGTTATTCCAGTTGGTAATGGTTAGATAATCATATTTAGATCCAGGTAGCAGTAGAAAACAGCCATTTTACCCTCCTTCACTTCTCCTGCCTTCCTGAACCTCCTAAAAAGTCCAGTCTTCAACAAATTTGAGTCAGATAATAATCAAACCATGATAAAAGTGGATATTTGATATTCCAAAAAACCTTCCTGTAAAATTTATGAAATGATGACTACAAACACACCAAACAAGACAAGAAGCTGTATATTGTAACTTTTTTTTGTTTTTGTTTTTAAATCTTGTGAATGGGACCATAGCCTGGGGGTATCACCTCAACCTGGAACACCATCAACAGAAGCCCTAGCTTTGCCGAGCCATAAAATCAGGTTATGTTAAATCATATGTTTATTATTTAGAAATACTGCACCCAGAGCATCTTAACAACCAAACTATAATTTCTATTTACTCAAATTGAAGTTCTTGTTCTACAGGGTTCCTGCACACTTTTGAAAGTCAAATTTAAGGCTTTTTAAGACCTTTTTAAGACCTTAAGAAATCAAAATTAATACCGTACATTAGGGCTGTGCAGTATTGACAAAAATATATCTTGATATTTTCAACGTTTTGTTGATAATAATTAGATGATATTTTCCTGATTGTGTTTTTGTGCTGGTGCCATGGCTGGTTTAGGTCTGTTGTTGACAGCTGACTCACGAAGATATTCATATTTTTCATATTCTATGCAGTGGTCAGTTCACAGCAGTGACAGAAATTAATATTTTAATTAAGGGGCAATATTTGCCACCTTAAATTGATTTTTTCAGGGGCATTTTCACCTATATATGGACATTTTTTCTAAACTTATTTAGAGTTATGCATCACCTTTAATGTCAAATACTATCATTCAAATTACATTATACAGTAATTATACAATAATACTTAATTATATAATAATCATACAGTACCACTGTTACCAGTCAAATTAAATCATTCAATCAAAATCCATCTTTGCAGTGCAGAGGTGACAGAAGCGGCATCAGAAGTGGCATTAATATATTTACACTCCATTTACAACTGCATAAATAAAGCTATGAGATATATAGCCTATTTTTAAATCAATATTCAATATTTAAATATGAAATGATTTCTAATTTTAACATTTTATTTAAAGGGTACTTTAAATATGAAACCGCAGCGGCAAATCACTGTTGTGAGTAAGTGAGTTGAGGGAGTCATTCATTCAACCGATTCGTTCAAACGGCTGATTCATTCGGGAAAGAAGCAAGTGATTCGTTCAAAACGCGGATTTCAGTCAAGAAATCATCGCTGTCGGTTGCATTGAGACTCTGCTACTGTTTCATTTTGAAATTATAGTCGGCGAAATAAAGGGAAAACAAACAATATTGACAATATTGTGTCTAAAAAGTAACTCAATGTTAACTTATTGTTAATTTAACTTTTGTATAACATAAATATCACACTTGGAATTGTGCACGGGAAAACGGCACTCTTTCTGATGTGATATTCTAATATAAGAACATAATATGATATAAATATAAGACAAAAACTAATTTGGGGACATAACAGTTACACTGCACACATCACGCAGTGAAAGCACGAGACAAATGCGATGTCAGCTCGCAGTGCCTCGTACATTGTTAAAACAATGATTACAATATCATAATAGACAATACACATCGCACACCATACGCACATAAAGAATGAACTTACAACTGAACTGACATTTACGACCTTTCTTCTCCTTCTCTCCTCTCGCGTGCAGGAGACAGTTATGCTGCCGCGACTCGCGAGTGACGCGAAATGTCACGTGAATTAGCAAATCCACAAAGATAGAATAATAAATAAATAAAAATACGTACGCTAATTAGATAGTTTTAATTTGGAAAGCTTTTAGATATGTCTAAGTCAAAGTGTCATCTAAAATTTAAGACCTTTCATAAGTAAAAATAAGACTTTATAAGACTTTTTATGGTCTTAAATTTTAAAAATCTAATTTAAGACTTTTTAAGACTTTTTAAGGATCCGCGGGAACCCTGTTCTAATCATATAACTCTATAATAATTTAAACAAGATGCTTTCTTGTTTAAAATGGCAATGTGGTTAGAAAAATAGACCTAATTTATAGAATATATATATATTTTTTTTTACTTTTTAGACTATTAATATCAGTCAGTGTTTGGAGACATTGACAAGTAAAGGTCTGAAGGTATAAAACTTACATGGTGCTGTCGCCGAGCTCTTCATACAGATTGTTGGTGGCAGCACCTCCAGATTTGCCAGTGGGAAGCGCCATTTGGATCCTGGCTGTTTTTGCACATTCTGCCTGCCGTCTTTAGATAATGAAGACAACAAGTTGAGCAAAGTAAAAGCATTGGCTTATATAATGAAATATTTTCTGGACATTTAGCTATTTTGGTGTTTCTCAAATAAAAAAACAGATCAGTGGTTCTCAAATTGTGGGTCGCAGACAGCAATATAATAATAATAAACAATGCTATGCAAATGATAAAATGCAACTAAGCATCTTGTATAGTTAGGACTGCACAATAAAAAATATATATATATTTTTGTTGATGCCAAAAATTGTCAATTCAAATGGTATGTTGGCTAAAATGTATCTAAGCTAGTTATATTTTTGCAAATGCCACCATGGATAGGTTGCATGATGTACGATGCTTGAGAGAGGGAAATGGTTAGGATATATAACCAACATATCATTACACATGCATGTCTCAGTACGATACTTACTCTTTGAATCTGAAATTGGTGCATTGTGGAAAGAAGAAAAATTAGATATATTAGACGATGACACTTATTACACAGCAGTATCAGTAAAAGCACTGCAAAAATATATGGTGGATTTCAGCCACAACATTAATAAATCTGCTCTCTGTTTCCCATAAATATGAATTATCTTCATCCCAAACTAAACCATCAATGATTCTAGAATGATCCTTATATCTCTAGCTCAGATCCTGTCATTTCATTCCTGAATTCTCATCGTCAGGTCTGCCATATGGCACTGGCTCAGCTGGAACAACATGTAAAACTCATCAACTACAGACGGTTTCCTCATATTTACCTCTCAAGGCCTTAATTAATCTTCTTTCACACCGAATAAACACAAGACCAGGCAGCTCTCAAAGGTGTTACCATTGTGAAAAGAGAGAATGTGTGTAGGTGTAAATGTCCCACTGAAATCCCAGCGGAGGGAAGCTGCCTGCTTAACACAAAATGTTTCTAACTTAATGACCTTTACACATTTTTTAAAATTTATTTATTAGTTTCTAAGTGGAGAAATCTTCGGTCTGAGCAGTCTTTCCACTGATTCCCTCGCATTCCCGCACAGGGCATGAAAGCAACATAACATTTCTGTTTAAAAAAAAACTAGAAAAAAGGCAAAGAATTTCAACAGATGTATTGTTTGATGGCTAATTTTACTAAACATTATTATTAAAGGCCATTTTGGGGGATTTGGATTTGAGCTTTAAGGTGTACTGGACTATAGTGGTGACACTCACTGTCGGTAGGTGATGATGACGATGAGAATGGCTGGGATACAGCACATGATGATGATGACGGCCAGGGCCAGCAGGGCTCCTTCGGTGTATCCAACAGACTGAACCGCCTTCTTTACGCTCTCCACCACATCCGGTGTGCGGATCTCCAGAATGCGTCCTCCGCGACCTAGGTAGGGCTGGAACTCCTTATTGATATCCAATAACTTCCCATCTAAAAACCTGGAGAAAACAGTCACGTATGTGGCCTTGCATATGCTATTCGATTAGTTCAGCAGTGCAAGCAACATAAATCTGGCCATAGAGATCTCACTTGCTTTTTAGCCAATCAGTGAATGACTAATCAAACATATTTAAAATTCACTTTTATAATAAAGTTCTAAAATATGTCCCCATTTTTTTTGTTTAAATGCAATGTAATGTGCCAATCTTATGGTTACTTTGAAAGCACAATTTCTAAATATCATTCACATTGTAGACAGCTAAATAAAACGTTAATAAAAAAAGAAATGTTGTCTATATTAGAACTAAAGGGTTTTAAAGTGCATTCCACAGCCTACAATTCACGATTTGCCCGTACAAGCGTTAGAAACAGTGCTGTCTGAGCAGGATAATTACTGTGACAAGACAGACAATATGGCTAAGGATTTAACCACAAGTCTAATTTTTATAAAAAATGAGAAAATGTCTAAACAAACATAAACACACACTCCATCTGCTTTATCGTGCTGCTTGGATAAAAAATGGGCAAACATAAATGCACGTCATAAGACTAACTAATGGCTAGGGATGGATGGCCTCTTAAATCATGCTATGAGCAATTTTATATCAAAGTTATTGTGGAACCTGATGGACGCAACACAAAATAAATGATTATTCATAACAAATGAATAAGTTAGACATCAGTGCAGACTGGTCCAAAATGAGCCAAGAGAGCCACAAACAGCCAACATGCTTCATCTTGTAGTTGATAAAAATCATATTTCCACCTCCAGTAACAGAACACAATATCGGGACACAACTGCGGGAGTATTCTTATACGTGGTGTTACATTTTTCAAATCCAAAACATGTCCACTTGATGCACCAATAACATTGTTGCGGCATTTTTTAGATGCGTAGCGCTCTGCATTTTCACATTAATCCATGTAAATAATAAAGCATTCCTGTCCATTGATTGTATAGCCACACAGACACAGTATCACAGTATAACTCTTAAAAATAAAGGTTCCAAAAGGGTTTTTCCACAGCGATGCCAGAGACGGACCATTTGGTTGCCCCAAGAACCTTTCAGAAAACTAACCTTTTTATTTGTATGCAGAACATATAAAATAGCCAAGGAACCTTTCTCCACAATGACCAAGCTTTCAATGGAATGATTCCATGGATGTTAAAGGTTCTTTATGGAACCATAAATAAAGAACCTTTATTTTTAAGAGTGTATGAAGGGTAGATATATCTCTAACGGTTAGGCGAACAAGTTACAGGGAAAAGTCAGGACACCGACATCATTTTCAACTAAAAACAGAAAACTTTTTATGCGTTTTGGCCGTTCAATTACACAAAACAGCGTATTGGGGGTATGCAAATGCTAACTTTTAAAAACGATACAGTTATAAGTTGGGTAAATTGGATGCACTTACTTGAAGAGCTCTTGTCTTGAGAGAGCTCTGTTGGTTAGAGGGTCAATTGCATAAACCATCAGGTCAGATTTGGAGTAGTCCTCCTGTTCATAACCCTCACCAAAACGCCGAGGCCCGATTGATTCCACGACTACTTTGGCTCCTGGGATCTGGTCCTGGACGTAGCGCTCTAAAATCCTGAATTAAGAAACAGACAGAAGATGAGAGATCTACAACAGAACCTCTTGACAAAGATGTTCTATTTAATATTTTGCGGCAGTCTATTCATTTATAGTAAAGGAAAGCTCTACACAAACAGCCCAGTAAAGAACGCCATTTTCACAAAGGGCGTGTCAACAAAAGAAAAGAAAAGAGCCAAAGATGTTGGACTGGCACAGGGTACACCAACAATTTAAAGAATACTGCATATGGACTTCAAAACCATGAACTTGGTCTGGAAATGAGAACAAACTACAAACTGAACACTGAATAAAACTCATTGTGAAAAAAAAAAAAAGATTAGAGGGTCTGCATCAAGTTTTTTTTCTGTGCTAATTTGAGAGCCCCTAAGCCATTAATTGGTGGGCATATATCAGAGAAAATAAACTGACAATCAACTTCCACACGATTGCAAACATGCACAACAAACACTAATTGCAGTAATCACTAACTGGAGAAATAAAACAGGACAAATTACACAAGAGCAATAATTACACTGCCTAAATCTAACCCAAAAGCTGCAAACCCCTATTTTATCCATGTTTATCAGGCTGAACGGGAGCTGTTTTGAACACAGAGGTGCGCTGAGGACAAATACAAAGCAATGGCTGAAATGAGCTGTGTAAGACAGTGTTGCTTCAAAGCTGGTGTCCTTGTCTCGCAGTAGGTGCCTTTATTACCCCTCAGCTCACATCTCAGAGCAGCCAGCCCTCCTCAGCCAATTACCTGCAGTGACTCCGATATCCCCCCTTCACAGCTGCCGAGGGGAAATAAGAACACGGGACACAAAAGAACAGAGGCTGGAATGATGACTCTAAAGGAACAAGGAACAGGTTTTCCGAGGAAACAACCTGACAAGAGATGATGAGGAGGTTTGGGAAAACTCAGGCTGTGAGTTATATCACCTGAGGCAGAAAATGTGTGTTAGTGTCTGTGTATATACTAGGAATATTAAGATGTGTTTATGTCTCCGTATTAGCACTGTACAATCTCAGCACTTTCCTGTCTATGTGAAAATGAATACTCGCATCTTTGTGTCGTTCCAGAACCAAAAGAATTTCCAGTTACACTTGAGTACACTTACAGTTGAGTATTAGTAGACTGTTAGGAGCAGGGCTAGGGTTAGTAGAATGAGGGTTAACTTATTCAGTAGAATAAGTTGACATGCACTTGCAAATATACTTATAGTTAGTAGAATGTCTAAAGGTGATCATCAAAATAAAGTCTTAGCAGACATTAAGCAGACAGTCTAAGTCTAATATTCTACTAAGACTCTAAAGAGAGTTAGTTGACATGTTGGTGCAATGTTACTATAGTCAACAGAATGTCTAAAAGGCACCATCAAAATAAAGTGTTACAGAATTTCCTCCTGTGAAACAAGGAGATATTCTAAAAAAAGTTCATGCTGCTCTTTTCCATATGATGAAGATAAATGGAGATGGATGCTGTTGACCACCAAAATGCCATAAAACATCCTAAAAGTATGGTAACAGTGGTTTAAATGACTTATGCTCTATATTTTGTCTTCTTAGGTCATTAATCTACTCTTATTAAATCTACTTGTTTAATATTTTTAGATGTATATTATGTTACGTTTTTCTTCTTTATTTCTTTCTCTCTGTTCTCTTGTGTATATATGCATGTAAGTACCTAGAGCTTCCCGGAAACCATACCATATTCCTTGTGCACACTTATACATAAATTGCATTGTGATTCTGATTCTAAATTTGTATGAGAAAGGGACTGAAATTGAAGTTGTTATTCACTATAAAAATCTCAAATTTTACAAATTCAACTTTGTTCCGGTCATGATTGGTTATGCCACACAATAACGAATCATGTTTGGTATCACAGATGAAAGAATTTTCATATTTCACATTTGAATATAAATAAACACAAAGCTGCAGCTGTGATTTTCAGTAAATAGCAACTTAAATTTCACAATGCTAATGTATGGCTTCAGAAAACTTGGAATATAGTGCATACACAGCTAATATAGTCCAGAACCATTGATAGGGGACACAGTTTTAAGACCCTGATGTATTTCAAACGAAATAAGAGGACAAACTGGTGCGATTTTATTTCAAACAAAATCATGCCAAAATAAAGTTTGTTTAGAGGAGGTTGGTTTTGGGGAGTTTACTCCGGCGTAAATGTGACGTGAGCAACCTGTTTGACAGTTGTACATCTTCTACTGCGCCAGGAGGAATCTGAATCATTCCCTTCCGATTCTTGCAGAGCCGGAGAGAGTAAGTATTAGCTGTCCATGAGCTAGCAGCAGGAGAAACTTTATGACTCTCTATGGGCTTATCCCTTGACTTTATTGGACGTTATGCCTTCCACGTCCCCCCGATTGCCCGCGAGCTTCTCCTTCTGTCTATACGGTAATTTCTCTACTGTGCGACAGAGAGTAGCGTGTTATGATGCAATCGTTAGCCTATTTTTACAAAAACTGCTTCTACGGGGCCATAACGTAAGATACAAGGTAATGGAGCCGTTTATACATTGTCGTGTTTCTTTAGAAATAAACAATGGACAAATGGAGTCTTTAAACGCCTCATATGTAAAGTTATTCGCTGTCAAAGTGACACCAAAATGAATGGGAGTCAATGGAATGCTAGTCTCAGCCTCAGACGTCACGCCCACGGAACGTTGGCTAAACATCTGATGCATATGGTACACTTAACTGGAAACACTTCAGGAATGTCGAAGTCGTCATCTGATTGGTTGAATTTTATCGGATTTCCGGGGGGCGCGAGTGTCGCGTTTATTTTCGGTCCGCCGGGAAACAGACGTGTGATTGCGGAAGAAAAACTGTTGTGTTTACATGAGTGACAACGAGCATTTATCAAGATCAGTTAAACGTAGGATTCTCAAAAGTATGCGAGGTTCACGGCATAGACTCTTGAAGTTTTCTTCTCCTTCTTTGATTTTCTATGCTGACTGACTTGTTGCACGCAGGTCTGTTGTTGTGGGGACATTTCCACGCCCCGAAACGTGACGCTGAACGAAACGAACTGTAATTGGTTGTTTTACATGTCGGTCAAACGGCCTTATGGGCGGGCCTTGGCCAAAGAAAGCTGCTATGAATTCCAGACCTTCAGCCGTCAGTCTGAAGGTCTGGCTACGCGAGACTAATGGAATTCTAACAGCAGGTGAAGGCTTGCTAGCCAATGGCGGCCCCCTGGCAGACTTCAGTTTCCGGCTGGTGGATTACCCCATAGATATCTATATAAAGGCTAGATGTCTTACGGCGGAGTCTCTATCGTCACCACCGGCGGCCATCTTGTCACAGGCAGGCTTTCTGGCGGACTCTGTGGTATCTGATGTAAGATGAGTGATCAGCACGAACACAAATACTCCTATCTCGTTGAAATCTTGACGGATTTACAAACGGTTTGGTTTCTTACAAACGTTATTTACGTGGCTATAATTCTGGATGATTATTAATTTATACACTTATTATTCATAAGTATGCAGTGTCATAACTACATCTCTGACGTTTATAACAAACCAAACCGTTTGAAAATCTGTAGAAAATTGAGCAAGTTATGGTTATTTAAAAAGTACATGCACCATTAAAACACAATGTTACGAGTGAGCGAGCTGCCTGTGACAAGATGGCCGCCAGGTGCAGACGTCGACCTCCATTGGCCAGCCGCGCGGACGAGATATCTAGCTTTTATTATGGATATCTATGGATTACCCCCTTGGATTTCCTGGAATGACACGCTATCTTCTTCTGCGGGGCATATTTGCTGTGTTTGCGCGAGAGCGCCCTCTGGCTTTCAGATGGAGCAGCATTTACTACTGAGCACAGAGCCGTACTTCACTGACAAGCGGCACATAAAATAGTGGCAGCCTTTTGCCAAATCGTGTGCGGTTTCATTTCGATGAATCGTGCAGCCCTATTTCAAACTACAAGTGTCAGTGGCGATTACATAATGTTCAGGATGTTCAAAAATAGCATACCGCTGCTCAGGTATTTTAAACTTCTTTTTAACCCTAAGTGAAGAACGAAAAAGAAATTTGCTGTTGGTATATTGGGAGCTTTATAGAGTTTCACAGTGTCAAATTTCTGGGGGTGTTGGGTAGGGGAATGTTCCATTTATGTTGATGTTTCATTAAAAAGGAAGTCATTTAGATTTGTGACAACATAAAGTAAGTAAATGATAACAGCACAACTTTTAAGTAAACTATTTCTTTAAGCAATAATAAGAGCTATTCCCATGGCTGATAGAGGAAGGTGGGGGGTTTCTGGTAATTCTGCTCTTGGTGCAGATGTTAAACAGTGTGGGTCCTACTTTTATCTGAGAGGGTTTGACAGAATCAAGCAGCCCACTGATTTATCCCCAACATAAACATCTGCACCAGCAGGAGTCAAGTACTCATGCATACATTACAGCTTCAAGCACTCTCTGGCTGCTCGGAATGTTATTTTGGGGAGTATGTCTGGGTGAAGAGTGTATTTGTACAGAACGAGTTACCCAATCAGCTGATCCTTGTTCTGTTCAACTACAGTGGGCGACACGTTGGATACGACCACCTGCATGTCCAGCTGGTTAACCACTGACACCTGGGAGATAGGACAAAAATAATCTCTAGTTAAAAAAGGGAAAATGATGGTGTAGCATGAAGGTTCTGAACTGCTTCAAATATGCTGTTCCTGTGGTTGATGAAACTGGGAGACAGAAATCAGTCAAATTAAACAAGGAACTTTAAGTAAGTCTTACTTTGTCATACAAATAAATTATGAACACTTGCAAAACAAAGAGAGAACCAATGGAATATTAGTAACCGATTATGTTGTAGTCAATGTGTGCTTTTTGTTGTTCTATATCCCCTTTTGGACATCACTTTTGGTCACAACTGTATATATGTACTGTTAAGCTGAAAAAAAAAAGTGGTTTGATATTTTGAATGCAGTGAAATTCAGACATTAAGTTAAACTTAACGTAAGTGTCTCACCAAAAATAGTATTACCGAATGTATGTGAATCATAATGGTGATGAATCTCCCTCAAAAGTATTAGAAGAATCACGAATGGAATTGTTCAGGACTCGTAACCTGTAAATTCCTTTAGCTTGTATTTAAATCAAGCTCTATATATGGAGCAGTCTAGCTGACATCATCTAAATACCCTTATCTCTGCATATTTATTTAACTCACAGACCAAGTGCAGGTTCAAGATAGTGAGAGCTATTGAGAGATTGATTTATGGGTTTAAATACTGCTGGAGCCCCTCAGCCCACAAAAAAAAATCGATGTCTCTTCGGCATCAGCTTTGGACGTTCTTACAGGCAAGCTTACAGGGACTGTATTTTTCTAATCAAAATCAGCTAACGGAGTTGCCACTGCTGTAAAATCAGATGATGGATTGCATCTCAGGACAGATTACTGCATTAAACTTGAATCAATCTGTTCAAACTGGCCTGGGAATGTGTATTTAAAGGCAAAGTGTATAATTTCTATCCTTCTTGCAAAAGCAGAACTGCTTCTCATCTGCAATCGCCCTGATTCTTATGCCACTTAATGATTCTGGTTCCTTTACAATTCCATTAATTATTCTTTTAATACTAAAATTCTTTGTCTTACTTCGCCATTGACGATATTTTTCTTAATTTAAGACACAACGATTCCCCGCTTTTTCTGGCTAATACGGTTATATGCTATCACGCATCTTCTGAAATAATTCAACATCTCCAGATCCAAAAACAAGCAAAGAAGATGATCTGCTTATATACCAGAAGGATCAGATAGAAGATTGCTTATCCACATTTTAGCTTTAGGGGTGTTTATAGACTCGATCAACTCAATCTATGTTTTGCTCATCGTTCTGAGTTTGAAGTAAACTAAATCTTTGACAAAAACTTTTCTCAGCTTTTTGTTTGAAATGCTGTTTTTTAATGAAACTTACCCATTCGAGTTTTAATACAACATTTTTATGAATGAAGCTTGAAGCTAGAAGCTTCATAGAAGCTTAAAAGCAAAGTTATTTCTCTTGATATATTGAATGTTTACATATAAAAAAAAAAACTTTCTGGGGCTAATGAAAGTTTTGTGAATATCAAAAAATGC